AAACTAAGCAAGAATGCAACAATATAATTTCAGGGGACCATATCATGAAACCAAATAAGTTGCCCCTTTAGGTAGAAATGTTACTCTGGCTTGTTTAAAAAGCAATACCAGATATAATCACCAGTGGTATATATTCAATTTAAAAGAACTTCTTCCTCTTCCCCCCCCACTCAGTAGAATTTTGTTATTCATCTAAAATAAGTTATTTAATGATTCACACTGAAAAAAATTCAAACTCTAAGCTGGGCGCAGTGGCACACGCCTGTAATCCCAGTGGCTCAGGAGGGTGAGGCAGGAAGATCCTGAGTTCAAACACAGCCTCAGCAATGGTGGGGGGCTAAGAATCTCAGTGAGACCCTGTCACTAAATAAAATACAAAATAGGGCTGGGGATGTGACTCAGTGGTTAAGTGCCCCTGAGTTCAATCTCTAATACAAAAAAAAAAATCAAATTCTAGAGGAAGCAATCCATCTCATGTGACTATCTCTAAAAATTAAACAGGGATACCTATTACCCACACTGAGTGTTTGTTTTACTAATTTCATATTACAAACAATACTTTTTACCAGATGTTCATAACACAACTATAAGACTTAAAATTTTAACATACTTACTTTCTTTCAAATGCAAATTAAACTCCCTGAAAAGTTTATGTTCATTCACAACAAAGGAAAAGAATCATTATCATAATGCTATTTTCCTAACAACTGGTAAAATTACATCATTATAATCTTTAATTAACTCAATTATTTAATGGCAAGCATGCATGCTCTAAGACAGAGCCTCAAAGGAAAACAATAATTATGAGAACAAAGAGGCCCATTTTACCTTAGTTCTTCAATTTGTGAAATCCATTTAAGGTAAGCAAGATGCCGTTCGATCTCTTCAATTTGGTTAATCATGGCCCCGAGATCATCCATCCAAGGCTGTGCAGTCAGTAAATGGCTGTTAATGGAACTGAAGAGTTGAGTTTCTTGCTCCAGAAACAGATTAAGGAATTGCTTTGATTCTTCTGCATTTTTTAAGGCACTCTGAATTCTTTTAGGAATTTCTGATGAAATGGTAAGTACCTAACCATACCAAAAATAAATAAATAAATAAGACAAAGAGAATAGCAGCAATCAGATAAAATTTTCATAATCTTTTTTTAGTTCATTCACTTCCAAATGCATGTTTGTTCTGACAGAACTGAAAATTATCCATTAAAAACTTCAAAAGAGGGCTGGGATTATGGCTCAGCAGTAGAGTGCTCACCTCGCACATGCGAAACCCTGGGTTTGATCCTCAGCACCACATAAAAACAAAAAGTAAAATAAAGGTATTGTGTCCAACCACAACTAAAAAATAAATATTATAAAAAAAAACTTCAAAAGAAAGATTTGATTTCTTCAACCCTACCAATCAATCCAAATATAAAATGCTGGATGTGAATTCGACAAACCATTTTGTTTATTTACATATAATTTGTGAAAGTGCAGCCTAGTGTCGCAGCAGAACTGACCTTCCTGTAAAAGGACTGGCAGGTGAGGTGAGGCATGGTAGAAGACCACACAATGGATAGGCACAACCCACTCAGCTATGACATAACCTCTAACAGAGCCCTTCAAGAGTGAAACAAACTGATGGGGCCAGGCTAAACGTAGAGGCTAGCAGTAGGTGTGGTAGAAAGATAAAAAGAGGAGAGTTGAGGAGGCCCAAGGTGATAAGTAAGAATAGGAGAACATAAGACAACTGACAACCCAGGGATGACATCCACATACCCACAGACTATACTTAACCTAATTTAGTAGTTAAACAATATTTTTTTTTTCTTTGACTATTCCAGGTATACAGATCCAGTTATTTTAGATTCAAGAATACTTTCATTGTTTTGTTTTTCAATTATTTTAGGTAATGTTTATTGTAAAAAGAAAAAAAGAACCTGAAAAGACATAAAATATGAAGATAATAAGTCACTTTCAGCCAACTACCCTACAATAACCACTATTACAATATTATACTTTTTGTGTTTTTCTTGCTGTGTGCACTTATTTAAAAAAAAATGGAATGACAGTGTCTAAACATTTTTGTAAATCACAATATTATTTATTCTTTAAGCACTTTAGAAGTCATTCCATAAAAGCTATATAAAATGTTAGCTATCATTATGTTTTCAAGACATAACTAAGCAGGAACTTTTACCTTTTAAATAATCTATAAAATATGTAGTACCTTTGTAGGTCTTTAAAAACCTATTAAATAGTTTTAAATGATTAGACTTTTGTCACAATCCAAACTCTAAAATTCTATAAATAATAGTGATTATGTTTATATTCTATTCCTATAATGAGTATGTTATTGATATTATTTATTTTTTTATATTTATTTTTTAGTTGTAGTTGGACACAATACCTTTTTATTTTTATTTATTTTTATGTGGTGCTGAGGATTGAACCCAGGGCCTTGCATGTGCCAGGCAAGTGCTCCACCACTGAGTTCCAGCCCCAGCCCCATTATTAGTGATATTATTTCAATGAGTTTTAATACTTACCTGTTCTTCTAACTGCATTTTACTTTCTGTCATTTGTTCTATGAGTTTATCAAGTTTTTTTAAAGATTTAAGGTCATTTCCAACTTCCTTTTCTATGAATGCAGACACATAAGAAGGAAGGTCACCATTATCTGTATCTCTGCAGACCTCTTCACCTCCCATGAGAGATGCAATGTTCATATCACCTAAAATTTAAAAAGGAACTACTCAATACCACTAAGCACTATAGAGTTAAAGGAAATATAAAAGATACACAAGACAGTGTGTTTACCTTTAAACACTAATAATTTTAAAATACATACACTATATATAGACACATAATATTTAAATGAATAACTATAAAGCAGTCTATCAAGCAAGTACTACAAAATACTTAAGAGTGGAAGAAATTCAGAGTGAAGAAAAAATCTCGTAAAGTCTGACCTAGTAACAAGAGGTTTCAATAGACATTGTCATGACAATGCTAATACCTTTTCAATTTTTTTTTTAGTTGTTGATAGAACTTTATTTTTATTTATTTATATGCGGTGCTGAGAATCGAACCTGGTACCTCACACATGCTAGGCAAGTGTTCCACCACTGAGCTACAACCCCAGACCCCTTTTCTAATTTTATAAGGAATCAATGGTAGATTTAGACTAACAACAAATGAGTTCTCTAGTTTTAAAATGTTAAATTATTGAAATATTTCAAGTATATGGAAGAAATTTGAAAAGGTGACCAATAAGTAAACACTCTCTCTTAAACAGTTTTAAAAGCTTAAAATGTCATTGTTAACAAAGATGTCCATATCAGAAACAGGAAGAAGGAAAAAAGAATACATGAGAGAAAATACAAAAGTTACTTGAAAAAAATCAAAATGGCTATTTTGTACAAAATGAGATTCTTTCCATGGCAAACAAACCAGATTTAGCCCAATTTATATTGGACTTAGTAAAAACGTGGCAAAGCAGATGACTTGGAACCCTGAAGCCATTTCTTGTTGAAGAGCAATGTGAAATTTCCCAAATACTCTCCAGGATGTTTATTAAGACCTAATTAAAGTTACCTGTAATTCTTTTTAAGCAAAAGTCAAATATATAAATTTAAATTTTTCAAGTTTTTTTTT